GGTTTATTTCCCTTCTGTTGTGTGGGGTTTTTTTGTTGTTTTTTTTTTTTTTTAAGGGCTGAATTTTTAGCTTTTCATTTTGCTGGTTGTCACAAGCCATGCATTATTTAAGTAGCTTCTCTTTGTTTTAGCAGCTTGAAACGAGCCAGAAATTCACCTTGCTCGCAGGCTACCAGCAGACGCGTTTGCTGCCCGCAGGCAGAAAGTAGGAGTTGATGCTCTTCTGTCAATGTAGGTGAGCAACGGTGGTGTTGCTGGATGGGGGAAAGGCTAAAACACACAATGATTTGATGTTGCTGACATCTCTTTCAAGTTGCTCTTCCCCCCCTGCTCCCCGTTCAGTTGGGATTTCAATTCCTACCTCCCCTGCAGTGCTTTCTGTCTAGTCCTGTTGCCTTGAGCTAGAGCCAGAGAAGAGCACTTTGAATCTAGTCCCGTCTCGGGTATGTGGGAGTTCAAGATTTCAAGTGCTGTTAGTGGGGGGAAAAAATATGTTACACTGTGTCTCGGAGGGGGTCTCCCCTTGACTGTTGCTTTAAATTCCAGCACTGTGTAAAGATGCTCTTTGCAGCACAAATGAGAGATGGAAGGAGCGGATTTGAGTTCTGCTCCAATTACTGCAGTCCAGAAACGCCTGCATATACCGGGAGTTTAAATATATGTACAGTTCTGATGCTTGCTATTTTTAGGTTGGGCTAAAAATACGTGACGTGGTGTTTGCATGGATTTTGAATGGGTTTTGGAAATCCTTGTGTTAACATTCTGTGTCCACCTGAGACCTGCTTCACCTCTTAGCAGCTGTTCCATCAACTCATAGTAGTGGTTGGGACCCGTGGTTTTGTAGAATATATTTTTGCATGTATGAGAAGCTTTTTTGTAAAGTACCAGCGACTTCAACTGTCAGTCTGAGATCTAATCGGGTCAGAGAACAGTTACATGTAAGTTCCTGATCGTCTCTGATTTTTCCAGTAGCTGTTCTGTTAATGGGTTCTTCTCCTCTCGAGTTGCTGTAGGAAAAACCTTAACAGGGAGGATTTTATTGCCTGTGCAGTGAAACTTGGATGTGCAGAGTCATGAATACATGGGAGTAATGTGGAAAACAGAGGGGAGATTTGGTGGAACCGTGTCTTCAGCATGGCAGTCTTAACTGCACTGTCGATGGGTGGATTCAAGGTTGTGACAAGAGTTTTGTGTCACCCTAATACTGTATAGGGATTCAAGTCCAAGTCCAGTTTCTGTGCTGTAGTGCAGGCAGTAGTTTTTAAGAAAAAGGCGTGGGGGTGCTTGCCGAGTGTCTATCTGCCTGCTGCCAGGTCTTTTTCTTTTAAAACGGTTCTAGTATCCTGTCCTTGACTGTGTTGCAAAAAAGCTGATGGTAATGTTAGAGCTTGGTTATAGGTAGCCTTATTCTTTACCTATAAATAGGCACTGATATCACTGAGGTAGCGTGGGATAGCTTCTTTCCATCTGTCTTGCTTGCTTTTTTATTATGTTGTTTATGTAGGGCAAGACCCTAGAGTGGCTTTGATCTTGTTACTTCATGTTCTTGGCGGCCTAGTGCTATAAACATTAATAAACTTCTTTTTCATGCCACTAGATGGAACTGGCTCATGCTTATAGATATTTGTTTAAACTTGAGCTCTGTATTGAGTATTGACAAAATGAATTGCTAGCTCTTGGTGGGAGCTTGGCTTTTACCCTCAAAGCAGTGCTTTATTAAGCTGCTTGGGTTTTTATGCAGTCTGTTTTGAAATAGAAAAGTGGTACATTGCCAGTTCTTTCCAGGCTTGGCTTTTTTCTTTTTTTTTTTTTTTCCCTTGACTGTGTACTACAGTTAATGCTGTTTATTATCTTCCTGCTTTTAAACCACCATGAGTCTTTTGGTGATCTGTGTGCATGTTTCTCCTGTACAGGGGGTAGACAGTGTGTTATCCCAAATTTCATTTCAGATTATTTCCTGTACCTCTTTCTTGATGCTCAAGGTCGAAGTGTGTAAATTCCTCTCTATGGGAACCAGACTTGCCTACAGAGAATACAGTTTTAATGTCAGTCTTGTGGCTTATCCCTTGTTCTTGGATGTGAACAGCTGTGGTTTAGCAAGGATTGGACAAAGCACCATTTGAGCTGTTTGGGAGAAGATTTTTTGGTGACTGTGCCGAGCATTTGCAGTGTCGACCCACCCGTGCATACATGCGTTGCCCAACTCTGCTAATGCATTGCATGCCCCTGTACGGGAGAAATATCCAAGCCGCTTAGCTTTGCTCAGAGGAAATCCGAGCAGACACCTGTCTAGCCTCTGTCTGCACCGCTCAATGCTACGAGGGCTGATTTGTGGCTTTCACGAATGTCCTTGTTCCTCCCTGGCCAATCTCGGAGTGATCCTTTGCCGGTTTTGCCTGCCAAGAGGTTCCTTTGTTGAGTGTGACCCTGCGTGAAGGCAGCTGAGACAAGGCGGGTGTTAGCTGTGCAGGGGCTGTTGGTTGTTGCAAGGAGTGCTTTGAAGGACCAACCTGCTGGGAAGCAGAAGCGTTTGGCATGGGTACGTGAGCTGTAGAGGCCTGGGTACCGATCCTGGCTTTGCTGCTAGCCTGCTTGGTGGCCTTGGCCACGCTGGTCCTTTCCGTGCTTCCATTTCTCCATCTTTTAAATGGCAGGAAGCGTATTGATCTTGTTTTCTAAAGTACTGAGAAGGCTAAGAATTGAAAAATGCTATGCAGGACTAGGTGGTAGCTATTCACGAGTACCAGGGAAAATACAACTGTAATAGTGTGGGTGTGACCTTTTTAAAAGGACAGGGTCTTCACCAAGTATGCTTACAGTGAGTGACCCAGCTGCTGAGCTGCTGCTCCAGCACCTGTCTGCAATGATGAGAGCAGTGCTTTCATGCCATTCTGGCAAATAAAGGAAGATTTATTTCTCCTCGCTTATGAGGCAGAAGCTGAAGAACCTAGTGGAAATACTCCCCAAAAATCTTGCTTTTGAAGTGTTTTCAAAGCATCAGTAGGCCCATGATACTCTTGGAGCTGCTTACTGGAAATAGGGTGTGCTACTGAGGTTTCAGGGTACAAATATAGGGGTAGTTGCATATTTGTAGTAATGCTGGCTAGAAGAGGCCTCTGCAGTTCCCTAGCCTGATGTCCCACTCAAATTTGGACCATCACCAGTGCTGGGACCAGGTGAGGGTGGGTGTTTGTAGCCCAGCCTTGAAAACCTTTATGGTGGAGGTTCCCTCTGGATAGGGCTGCTTTAGGCACTGAGCCATGCTGCTGGCATCCTTTGTGTGTGTTAAGCAAGCGTCCTGCCCTGCAAACGGGAAAATGCTGCTGCCTTGCTTATTTATCCCACTGCCTACAGTGCAAGGCTGTGGACTCTGTGCAGGCTGTTCTGCAGGAGGAGGGTGCGTTCCTGCCCAAAACCGGCTGACTCGGTGCTGCCATGCAGTGTGTGCTTTCTGTGAAATGTGGCTTGGGTTTTGGCTTTTTTTAAGTGCTAAATTATACTTTTTAATTTTTATTATTTTAGCCCGTATTAGAATATTTTTAAGATGGTAATAACTAGTTCCTTGGGCATGGGCGGGGGGGGCATAAATATGAGTACATAGTATGCATCTGAACTGATTTCTTTATTTTGCTGTCCTATCCTAGCTGCAAATTCTGTTCCCTGTGGAGGAGGTTAAGTAGAAGTATTGAGGAGGAATTTATACTGCTCCTGTGTACTAGCAAACAGGATTTTATAGCAGACCCACCATTTTCTTCCAACTTATGCGTCAGTAAATATTTAATAATATAGATTCCTCTGTGCTCTAATAATGAGATGAATACTTCTCAATAAAAAGACCTCCTTTCTCATTCCAGTGATCAAATTGTGCTCAGAATTCCCGTATGTATTCAGCTGCTCTGTGATAGCAGGAATTGAGAGCTATAAGCTGATAGAGCATAAAATGGAAACCTACTGTTCAGGTTGCAGTGATTCCTCTGACCTCCTAATCCTGTTTGGGAGCCTCCAGCCGGCTCATTGTGCCTCTCTGACAACAGGTGGGGGTAGCAAATTTTAGTCCCAAAAGCTCAGTCCTGTGAAGGAACCTGATCCCTGTTGCGGTCTCTTTTCAGTTTGAGAGCAGGTGGCATATCCTGGAATTTGTACCAAACCCTCATTGAGGAGGGAATGTGTCGTAAATCATGAAAGTCTCTTCTTTAAAATAGCAGATGGTGGCAAGGAAGTGTGCTCTAAATGTGACTTGTTCCCATGCTGGTTCACAGTGCAGGCACAAAACACACGCTTATATACTGCCCTGCCAGGGGTGCAGCTTCCTTCGTCGTAGAAGTGAGCTCAAAGCATCTCTGGTCCCTCTGAAGTTGTGCCTTGGCTTGGCGGCACACAAGGGAATTCAGGGTGTGATGCTGGTGTCTCCATTTCAGCAGTGTGGCTCACTTGTGACATTAAGTGCGACAGGCGATGGTTGTAACGACATCAACTGGTACGCTTGAGGTGGAGGCTGATGTGGTGTTACCCTGTGGCAGCTCAGGCAAGTGGCTTTTGCTCCTCTCACCAGTAGATGGTGGCAGAAACATCACTGTGTGAGTTGATGCATCAGGTTTTTGACTTCTTGGAAACAGGAGAAGATCCACATATGTGGAAGGTTTGAGTCCTGGCCGGACAAAATTACATCTTGTTGTGTTTTCCTCCCCTGCCCCTGCCACCCTCTTTCTGTGATTGCATAGCTATAAGCATCTTTGTGTCTTCTCTAGAGAGGCTTCTCGGGCCTGATTGCGCTCTTCAGTCAGCTGTCTTAACTGTCGGAACAGAAGATAACAGAAACATAGAAACATGTCTGCTTTTAGGCACTGAGAAGGTGGTATGGAAAAATATCCTCATGGAGACACTGTGCTGGGAGAGCCAGGAGAACCCCCAAAATGATCTAGCAGCTTAGTCTTGGGAAAGCCTGATTAGGGTTCTGCTGACTTTGCCTAACTCTCTCCTGTTTTTATTTTGTCTTCTAGTTCCTCATGCGAGCCTGACTGCCATGCGTGGACATTGATGCTTTTGAGTACAGCTGTTTAAAATGGCAGAGAGAGGTGGAAATGAAGAAGTAATTAACTTGAACAGCTTCCGTAGTCACAGAGGGAAAGGTGAGTACTGACTGCTGCATATTTCCAAAACACTCTTTGTAGAACTTGGTTTACAAGCAGCAGAATTCATAGATACTACACTTGGAAGAGCGCTGTTAATGGGTACCTGATAGTGGTCTGTTTAGCATGTCATACACTGCTCTGTTACACTTACTTCACAGCCACCTACAGAAAATTCTTTCATTTTATGCAGACATGCAAAATATTTGGCTCTTCTGTTTCTCATGTTGTACTGCCTTAAGGCAGATTGCTGACTTCTTGAGAACACCATGTAGAGGTATTTCAGCAGATCTGAGGGGCTTATGGTGTTCCACGCTTCTGAGGGCCTCAGAGGAAAGAGGCTGGCTCTGCATTTATATCCTCATAGGGCTGTATGGATGTATGGCACCTGTTCCTCCAAGAGTGGAATTCAAAATGATGCTTTCTGTGTATGCCTGAAAGGTGATAAATGAATACTCATGAATACTTATGCTAAAGCATGAGCAAAAAAGTTGTGGCAAATTGTAGGGAAAGCATGGTTGTATGCTGTCTCTGCAGTGCAGAAACCCTGTTTCTGGCTTGAATGTCTCTCCTGCGTTCAGCAGCTGTGTTCAGTAGCATCTATATTCCACTCTTGACAAGCCGTGAGGGACACGGTTGTCATCTAATAGCAGGATGTCTTCTGCACCCACAGCTAGGGGTCCTATCTCGGTCTCGCATAAGGTACTCCTGCAAAGTCACACTTTTTCAGAAGAGGCCGAATTGCACAGGGAACCTTATCTCTCCGTTAATAAAAGAAAATGTTTCATCCCTGAGATAGTGAAAGTTCTGGACTTCCCTGCAAAAATTAGGAAGTACTCTGTACGTGGCCTTTCCAGAATAATTTTTGCAGCCACTTGACTCGTGCTGAAGTTTAGGATGGAAGAATATCTGCATAAGTGTCAGTGACTGTTTCATGCATGTCCTGTTGCAGTGAGCTACATTTTGTGCAGGTGTTTTGCTCAGAGGGCCAAGGGAGGTAGGAGTGGCTGTAACAGTAACTTGGAGAGGAACCAGTGACCTTTGAGCGCTTCTTCCCTGTTGCTGCAATGCAAATGCAAAGATTGCTTTTTCAGATGTTTCGGTGCTTGTGTCCTGTAATTTCAGTTATTTACCTTTAGCAAATAGCTAACTTTACTTACTTTACTACAGACTGGATAAACCGCAGGGACGAAGGTCTTATCATGATATCAGATTCCTCAGACGAAGAATTACCTTTGTTGCTGGAAATGCCAGCAGAGCAGCAGCGTGAGGAAGATGACGATGATGTAGTCATCTTGGCAGAGGTAATTTTTCATTCTTATGCTTGCCCTGCTTTATTCATGGCCTTTATAGCCAGCTCTTGTGCAAATATCTGATGCATTCCTTTGAGAGTCATGTCTGGTTACAGTAATTTACTTAGGATGTCTGAAATGCATGTTGAAATGATGGCATTTTGCTGACTTTAAGTGTTTAATCATATTTTGGGCACAGGAGGGGAGAACAAGGCTGTTAAACTGCATTGTAGTTAAAGTTCTACTTAAAGGCTGTAGCTTCCATAAAGTTATCTATAGAAATCCAGAACGGTGGAGTGCTTTGTAAGAGGACTTGATATTCCTTAGAAGGCAGTTTTTCAAAACATGCGTTGTTTGACCTTGTATGCTTTATATTCCTCTATGTTATTTGGATTCTTGTTGGGCTGTGGCAGGCACTTAAATTTTTGCGGTTTCACAAAGCCAGCCCACCTGATAAATCTCTTTCCACTGGCACCGGCAGTCACATTGAGGAGGGCCAAAGTCTTTAGCCTGCCCTGATTATTTTAAATGTCTTATTTCATATCTAAGCTATATTAAGAATATATTCCACTTTTCTGTTAAAGTAACCAGAGGCATTGAGAAAATGGGTTGTGAAGCTGACCTTTCTGTTTCTTAGTTGAAAACAGTAGCAGAGAATATTCAGACTCTGTTGGCATACAGCAGTCTGTCTGCCAGAGGCAAGGACAAGGCCAGAGATTAATGTTTTGAGCTTTGGTTCCTGCCTGTTTAAATAAACTGGTGAGAATGCAAATATGCCATCAGTTAGTTCCTCCTTCCCAGACTGTTTTACTGGGAGGGAAGTGGGGACTGAGGTGAGCTCAGGAAACTATTCCAGTCTGAAAGTCCTGTGCATCCCCAAATTGTGCCAAATGTTCTCTTACTACCTGGGGACAGACTGAGGATGGAGTTTGGTGAAACAAAGATAGGTGGGTTGCAGTTTTATGCCTTATTAAGCACCTTGCTAAACAGACCTTTCATCTGCTTCCCATCAGAAATTTGATTAGATGCAAAAGATCATCTGGAGCAAGGATTCTGACATGCAGACAAGAACTACTTACTCTTGTCTGTCTTCTTTTTAGACCCCAAAGCATCAGCAGCTTCTGCGTCCCAATGTCATCAGACCTGCTGCTCAATGGCAGGGTGCAAACACTGTGGGAGAAGGAGGATCTAAAAGTGCTGTCGAGCCCTTGAGGAGCACATATCTGCAAGATGAGATCTCAACTCCGCTGTGCCAGGGAGACCAGAATAATCACATGGTGGAAAGCAGTGCTGGACCGAGCAGGGATGAGAATATGAACTTTGCCTTGCAGCAGCCCGGACCATCTGAGCTTAATGGCCCCAGGTTTGAACTTAGAAGTAACGAGGAGCCTGGCCCAAGTTTGCTTCCAGCAATAAAGACGAGTCCACAGCCTGCTGTTAACAGAGAAATCATTAGTCTGGAGAATGCGGACCTTCCACCACAACAGGAAGAAAAGGTAGAAGCCCAGGGATGGCAAGGACAGGACTTGGAGCCAGAGCAAAACCTCGGAGGAACAGCTGTTGCACCTACCGCAGACCAGGAGATCCACAAAAACAGCCAGCTGGATCACCCATACTTCCAGACGTTGGAAGATGAGCCACATGCTGTGGTAAATGGTTGTGCTCCTCAGCAAGGGCAGCCTGAAGCAGACCCAGGATCTTTGAGGGCATATGGAGAGGAGGCTCCTGGGCCAGCCTTCCCCCGACCTGAACCACAGCAGGATGGGATTCCAGGTCCTGCTTCACCCCAGCCAGCGCATCCACCAGAAGAAACGGGTCAGCTGGCAGCTATAGACAATGAACAGCCAGGTCCAGCATTCCCTGCACAGGGCTCTCACGAAGTTGGCTCTGGTAATGTGCCAGAACAAGGAGCTGCTGGGCAGGACCAAGACCCCACTGCACTGCTCATCAGAGAGACAGTAAGTATTCCCAGGGCTTGTTTGCCTTCTGTGTGCTTGTTATTTTCAGACAGGTTTTTCAAGGTGTGTAGTGTTTCACATGCTGAAAGCACAGCCCTATTGACTTCAGCTGCAAATCCTCCTTGTTTTGGCTGAGACTCAGCTATGCGCCAGTGAGGAGCATGCAGTGAACTGTCTTGGGAAAGTTTGGTTTGAAAGACTAACCCCAGCACTATGGCAGAAGCAGTGAGACGATGCGAATCTTGAAGGCGCTGTTTGGCTTGGGATGGGCTCTCAGCCAGAGAGGTTTAGCAGAACTGATTGCAGGGTCTCAGGGGCACAGTGAGGTGAAATAACATGGGTCTGTTCCCTTAAAGGCTACTGCCCTCTCAGTTCTGCTAGTTTGTTTTTGTCTGGCTGGTTCCTAACCCAACTCTGTAGAGCTGGTTTAGGAATGGATGTAGAGCTAAATGAGCAAAACTGAGACAGTAAACATTGGCAGAGGGGTAGAGGGTGGGGTAGAGAAGCCTTAGAGACATGGCTGCTAGCCTTGGCTGCTTTCAGCTGGCTCTTCTAAAGTAGTTTGGTCCATGGCCATGTTAAAGCCACCATGGTGGTCAGGGGTAATGGTTGCCCTTGCAGTGTGGATTTCCAAGCAGTAGCACTGAGGGTTTACTGGATAAGCAGCATGAAGACTTGTGTATGTTAACTCCATGCGCTCCTTTCTGACTCTGTGTGTGAAGCTTAGCATGAGGGGCACTAGCTACAAGAGCCAAACCACCAAGGATGGTACTCCTTAACCTTTGGTATGTTCAGCAGCTTCGGTAACATGGTGTATATTTAATAATATTTAAAAAAAAAAAAGTGGTCTAATGTTTTTATGTAGTGGTCCAATTTTTCTAATGTCTAATGTTTTCCATTCCAATGCACACTCCTCCCTTTGGTAGGAGGAAGGGTCTCTCTTGATGCCTTACGGAATGCTTTTTTGCAAACAAGCGTATTTTACTGTATCTGTATCTTACACCACCACCCCCATCCTCTCCAAGTCTTCCCTCCCCATCCCATATCTGATTCTATTTGTGAAAACTGGGATTGAGGAAAATATTCTTTAAGTAGCAGTCCAACAAAATTCAGTTCTTTCCAAGTAAGACCTTGTTGATCAGTGACTTGCTTTTGAGATGGATAAGTAGAAACTCTTGCATTTTCAGGGTTGCTTGACAACCCTGACCAGTCCAGTCTTGCAAAGCAAAATATCATCTGGTGGAATTGATTGCAGTACCTGTACAGCAACCCAACAAGAGAGAGCAGCAAGGGGTGCTCTTTGCTATGTGGCTAATGCTGGGAGAGCTTTCACAGAAGTGCCAGTAAAGGTTTGTTGTCTGTTCTGATCTCGTTGCTAGTGTGTCTGGGTGCTTTGGGTGGGTATGTGTATTTTTTGTTTTTTTTTTTTCTTTTGCTTTGGAATGTTGTATTTCAGCACATGATCTGGAACTCCTTAGTCTTCTGTCTGAAGGTAAATATTAGCTTTTCTTGTGTTGTAGATCATACCTATGTGCCTTGCCTCTTTCCATCCAGCCTGAATCACTCGTTAGGCCAGCTGCTTATGGCCATTCACATCAGTACCCATACTCTTTTTGTGAAAAAGAGCTGTTAGCAATCATCCTGTGGAGCAAAAGAAAGCCAGCAGCTTGCAGTATCCAGGCTGGATGGATATAAATGGTCTCTTGAAATCCATTTTGGCCCTTGTCTCAGGAGCGTGCTAGATAATTACCTATAAATCTCTGTCTTTGGTGCCATTGCTAGGTTGTGCTACGCAGCTCCTCTAATACCTATGTAACCTTTAGCTTTTCCTACTGTAGGAAGCAAGATTCCCAGATGTGAAGAAGGAATATATTGAAGAGCTAATCAGTATCAAGAACTGCTATGACTTAAATGTGTAAGTACAGATCTAAGAGCTAGGGTGTATCATACAACAGTCTGGCTGCAGTCACGCTTCCATTTCCCTACCCACTAATGATGCTGTTCTAGAGCATATCCAGGCTGGGAGTCAGCACTGCGTCGATAGTGCCAAAGAGCAGAGTATTATTTTTTTTTTCTTCTGATAGAGCTTTTCTTAAATCCTCTCTAATTCTGGTGTTGTGCTGTAACTTCTCTGCTTTTAAGATAATTTGTTCATTTAAAGATATTACATATCATTTCCTCTTAACTGTTACTAGGGTTCTTAAAAAGGGTGAGTGTCAGGATTAAGGTGTTGAGATGAATTCTATAAAATATAGTACGAAGGTGGGTTGGTGAGTTTTGAGTTGGAGGAAAGAGTTTCCTACCTCTTCATTTCACTGGCTTTTTCCAGGTAAAGCTGACCTGATCTGGACTCCCTTATTTAGTGTCATGATGTTGGCTTTTATGCCCTTTACTTAATCAAGCAGTAGTGGTACTGTTTGAGTTCTCTCACATCGCTTGTTGCAGATAGAATAGAGCAAACACATTTAGGGGCTGGTAGGATTGTTTCTAGATATCTGTCAAGGGACTGATTTTGGTCAAACTGAGCAGAAACATGAGCCAAGAAGGGAAGTAAAAGGAGTGGAAAATCAGCCTGAGGACTGTTGATTTCCCAATTGTGTTAGCAGCTCAAGAATACCTTGGTGTTTATCGTGCTTGATATCTCTGGGAGTCATGTTAGAATCAAAAGTTTAAAAAAAGTCATTAACCTTATCGATAAGTTGCATCATGTCCTTGCCCTTTTGGGTGAAGCTTGCACAGCTGAAGAGTGAAGGATTGCGTGTGTTGGCACCAGCAACACAGAGGGGAAAGTGGTTTGAAGTAAATCACTTGTGACTTGTCTGATACTAGGTGGCCCCTCTCTCTTTCTCCCTCTCTGCAGCTGTCACTGCTATCTCAAACATGTTGAAACTAGTTATTATGTGATACAAGAATGAAGAATAGGTGTTGGTTGCCAGAGTATTCGCTCTATCTTGTATGAATCCAATGCCCTTTCCAGTTAACTAGGGCACTAATTAAGCAGCATTCAAATGCGTGAGGCTTAGAATTAGTTATTGGACCATAAATAAGTTAACTGGCAAGGAACTAAGGATGATCCCATCCGTTGGGCATAGATTTCCTCTTCTGCTGCCTTTGCCTGTGTTATGAAGTCATGTCTCCAAAGTAGGGCTTCTTGGTTAGAAAGTCATCAGGCTGTAACTTCTTTCTTGTCTTTCGAAAGTGCTGTCCCTGCAGTGGTGACGTGGTCAGCATGAGAGCAGCTTTCAGGTGCCCGCACTGCATACTTTGTGCACCTCGGCGTGGATGGTTGTGTTGGGAGTGTAGAAGACCAGTAGGGCCATTCCTTGGGGCAATTGGGCTGTTGAAGTTGGGCATCTGGCTGCAGGACCCTCTTGCAGATTGTGTGAAAAAACTCGTCATTGTGTCCTGCGGGGATTTAGTGAAGCCTGATAGAATTAAATCTCAGTATCGGCTTCTATCAGTCTTAATGTGTTCCTTCCCTTTTTGCTCCCGAAATCTCTTCTCTCCTATTGTGTGCCACAGACCCAGTGAGATGAAAAGGTGCTTACAGGCTTCCCTGTAGGCCATCTACAGTGTCTGCTCAGCGGTGCGTTACCCACTTACTGGATGATAAAGATTTCTTCTCCATATTTTTATTCCTTTAACCAAACTATCTTTTGAGTTGTCACTGCATCTTTTGTATGAGAACAAACGGGTCAAAGCACTGGTCAGCCTCGCTGGCAGGGTCTCTTTGATCTCCATGGTATGTCAAGCTGAATCAGGCTTGAAATATAATAAATAAGGGTGGCTGGGTTTGGGCAGGGATGAGGCTTTTAACTGGCTCTGTGTCCTGTGGTGCAGATATTAATGAACAGTGCTGCAAGTGTGCGTGCATTGCGCGCTGGGACCCACTTAACTAATTGTCAGACACTGAAGGTTAACATCTCTGAAAATCCTGAGCATTGAAATGGCAACATGCAGAAAAGTTCAAATGTATTCTGACTGTGCCCCAGCTGAAACCCTTGCGTTTGAGCTGCAGTGATTTGAGCTCCTTGAAGTTTCTGTTTTGTTGGATTAAAACAGTTATCTTTTACAAAGGGATGGGGGTAGGGCTGGAAGCTATTAAATGCTCAGTGCCAAGATATTTTGTTGTTTTTCTGAAATGATTGCCTTAAAACTTTCAACTGTCCTGAAAGATAAGATGTGGGAGCTCCTCTTAGCAGGGTATCATCTATTCAGCTTTTGTGTGCAGAAGCATTCACACTCAGTCAAAAGCTTCTGGCTCAATATGTCAATACCTGATTAAACAAAAAGAAATGCCTCTGCTTTGAATGTGAAAGCAGGGCTAAAGTAATCATGCCTTGATAGTGGGTTAATGCTTCAAGCCAGTTCAGATTTCTTAATTAGGGACTGATTTCTGACATCAGGAATGTAAATTAGCTGCAATTATGTCTTTGCTGCAACCTAGCACCTTCTTGTTCAAAAAGTTTTACAAATGTTAATTGCTTGTCCTAGCTCCTTTCAGAAGGATATTACTCTACAGCTGGGGAAACTGAGGAACAGCTTATATTACTTGATCCAGCTAGCACAGCTGGTTAGTAGTGGTTGAGAATAAACTGTGAAAGTCTGATTCAGACAGCCTACAACAAGCTTCCCTTTTGAAAGGGCTTCTGAAGTACTTGTGGATCTCCAGCAACTGGGTATTCTGAAACTACTTGCTAGAGTCTTTTCTAAGCTGAAATACTCAGTTAAACTAAATCTACCTGACAGTTATGATTGTTTGTGATGGGATCTCAGGTATGCTGCATTTACAGGCTAGTATGCAATTTTTTCTGCAATTATTTAGTGATTATTTTCTAAATGCTGTTCTCACTAGACCAATTTCTAGTGGAAGCTGGACAATGCTGGTGTGATTTCAAGCTTTATTACAATGAAACCTCTATTCAGAGTACATATTGTATGTAAACACAGTTTAAACAAGTTGCTGTGTCTGCTCTAACATGAAAGTAGATCGAGACTGGAGGCTTTAATTCAAATTTGAATCTGTAATCTTTTGTTGAGGAATACATCAACCTTTCACGGGTTTTGTAGGGGTTTGTATGCTTCTTTTTCCATAGACGCATTTGTGTTAGCCGCAGGAGATGACAGCTAGATTTCAATTACTGCTGCTAATGCTGTGACTGTTCTTTCCTGTATGGTCTTCATAATGTTAATTCCAGAGTAGCAGAAAGTTAGTATACCTTAACTCTTAGTTGTGTAGCATTTGACATGTGCTCAAAGGAGGTGCCACTTCACATGGTTTTACTTGTGGATGTGAGTGGGGAGGTAAGCCTGATTGTTCACCTCTGGCATGGAGAGATGTAGGTTGGTTAGTAGCTCACCCATACAAGCTTCATGTATGTAAATGCAATTGTTGGAAAGGCAAATCTATTTGCTTTTCCTTCTGCAGTCATGCAGCTGATCATTATTTACTTAATTCTCATTTACTTGCAGTTTGCTCTAGTCTAGGACTTCCCTTGCTTCTTACAGGGCAGTCTGTGACTTGCCTGCCTAGCCTCATAATTATAGGATACTAAAAAATTGGACAAGCAAGGAATGAACCTGAGCTCCCAAACCCTGAAGTAACTATATTTATCTTTTCAGACTTTGTAACTTTCTTCTGGAAAATCCAGATTACCCAAAGAAGGAAGGCAGAGTGGTTTTAAATCCCAGCAGCAGCCTGCTCGCCAGCCAAGATGAGACAAAGGCAAGTGAGAGAGTATCCTCGCCTACAGCATGCCTCTCATCCAGTCTGTTCAACCTGAGTGGACCTTAGGATGTCTGGTTCTGTTAGTGCGTATTTGTAGAGTGCTTGGTTGAGCCATACTTTCATAGGAGGCCTCTGGGTGCGTTTAAGAGGCTGTTAAATAGCAATAGTTAATTGCTTGCAAGATGATTTCCAAGACTTTCCTGTTTTGCTGTTGCATAGCTGAACCGTGTCTTCTCTTTTGCATTCAGCGAGACCCTCTGCCCTACCTGCCTGTCAGCTATCCTGTCTGAAGTGTTCATTTTGATAACTGATATGAGAATTCCATAGTCGGTCTGTCACATGAAGTAGACTTGGCCCTCAGGTCTCTCTTGTGTGGCCTTTAGATATTGCCTTTCAGCATCCAAACTGGAAATCTCCCTGCAGCTGCTTGAATTTTTTTTTTTTTTTTTAAAGACCCATTGACAAAAAATTCTCTCTGAGCTGCTTTGAGTATATTGAAATAGCTGTGTGTGGCGTGAGAGAGAGAAATGTTGAATACCTCTTTCTACTCTTGGAAGCGTCTCTCAACCTCGAACCAATAAAGTTGTTCACTCTTTATAGTAACCTAAATGTATCCTCTCCTTGCTGTCCCGTGCAGCCATGCACAATGGCTTTAAACTACGTGGCTAGGAGCAGAGCTGCAGTGTGGTGCAGCTCAGGGCAGGTTACCCGCCCAAGTGCATAGACCAGTAGGCTTCACACCCCCGCTGTGCTCTAAGCTGATGCTTAGACAGGTGCTCAGAACTGGGTGCCGTGTAACCTGAATTTTGGGTGGTCTTGCAGAAGGTCCTGATCACTGAAGGAGTGGTTTGGGGTGTTCACAAGTGTGTATTTATAGCAGCCTTTTTATATCTTTTGCATTTTCTCCTTAGGTGCCTAAAGTGGACTACTTCGACTTTTCCAAACTTGCCCCACTTGATCAGCGGTGCTTTATTCAGGCAGCTGACCTCCTTATGGCAGACTTCAAAATGCTGAGCAGCCAAGACATTAAGTGGGCACTACATGAACTCAAGGGACACTATGCAATCACGCGAAAGGTTCTCCAGTTCAAGTCTGTTTTCTTTCTTAGGGTTATCTCCTGTGTCCGCAGAGAGCAGCGTGATGTCTTTTGCTTTACTATACCATCTGCTAGTGTGTGGTTATGGGCTTTTTTAATAATCTTCCTTTCCTTTTAAGAAGTATTAATCCATTTAGTAGACTTGCAAAATTTATTGGCCAGACAGCATGCTGCAGGAAGTTTTTACTTTTCTCTAATAGGAGAACTGGGGAAACACTAGCTAGTTGATGGTAGGCGATGCATTAAACTGAGAAGTGTTCCTGTACGTTGCCACTGAAGTGCGGTATAATTGCCAATAAAGCCTAGACATTTAGCTAAATCTTAAAACATTTAACTGCTGCTATTAGTTAACTGACTGCATGTAATTGAGAAGAAGCCCAGCTCTTGCTGTCCTGTCTCTTCTTATTATGACTTGTGGAATGAGTCCTATATTCCTTGTAAAAGAGTTTCACTGTAATGGAGCTGCAAAGACACTTGTTTTAAGTATCAAGAAACTGGATGTAAATGTGGCTTCAAGCTTTTGACTTGGATCTACTCCTCTGATATGCTCCTCTTGCATGAGCTTCTTTCTCCATTATTCCAGGACTTAACTAAAGCCAAACCTCCTTCTCTCTTCATTTGCTTGATTGAGCACTGAGTATTTCAGCTTTGGTTTGTTTTGTTGTTTTGGTTTTGGTTTGTTTGGTTTTTTTTTTTTAAATAAAAAACCAAACCCAACAAAAAAAAAAAGCCAAACCAGCTCTGTTGCATCAGAGTGGACACCAGCTGTATTAGAACTAATAGCTGAGGTGTTGTTGAAGTATCATTCAACTTTTTTTTTTTTCCATGGAATGATTGCTTTATGAGTAGATAAAGCAACAAGGTGAGTAAAGGAAAGAGATATACTTGCCTCTATATGGGGTGTTTGGCTTTCCGGTTTTGGATCAGTCTTATGTGCATGTTTGTACTGTGCTTCAATTTGAAGTATGTGCTTCTGCTTTCTTCCAGGAACAGACAGGATTTAAGTCTGTATGTTGTTTTCTAGGCCTTTTCAGATGCTATCAAAAAATGGCAGGAGCTGTCTCCCGAAACCAGCGGGAAACGAAAAAGGAGGAAAGAAATGAATCAGTATTCATATATAGACTTCAAATTTGAGCAAGGTAAATACCAAGCTGTATGTATCGTGGTCTCTGCATCGTTATTGTAAGCAGAACTGGCTTGCAGCAGAAGGGTACTGTTCTTGAAAAGGGATGTGGTCCCAGAACAGCTATGTTTCTGTCACTGTCTGGTATCTATTTTGGAGATATTCTTCATTAGTACCACTGCTTGGTACAATGCTGTTGGAGATGCTGAAGTTATGCAGCTGGTGGTGTGTGGAGGAAGAAGGATTTAAGCTTTGTTCTGGCTGCCGCATCCCATTTCATTGTGCCTTTAACTCTGCTTTAGGGGATGTGAAAATTGAGAAGCGCATGTTCTTCCTGGAGAATAAGAGACGGCACTGGAGGTCCTACGACAAGCTCTCTCTTCTCCCACCGGTGCTACTGGAGCAGGAATTCTATGAGCAGAAAGTTAAAGAGATGGCAGAGGTGAGTGGTAGGAGCTGTTTTGATCTTGTGGTGCAAACGACTTCAGCTACTGTAGAGGTCTTGGCCCTAAACATGGAAATCTGCCTCTTAAAAGAAATTCAAACGCTGAACAAAATGTTGAATAACTGACTACCTTTGCCCCTTTACTACCTGTTAACTTGTATAACTCTTCCTAAGTAACTCATTTTTGAAGGAAAAAAACCAAGCACGGAGTATCATATTTACTTAAATATATAGCTGCTACTTTTGCAAACACTGTTCTAGACCTTTTTTGCTACAAAATAGTAAAATCTCTACTAATTAATTGTTCCTCTAATTGTTAGCAGGCTTCTCTGCTGCTTTAGGGCTTGTAATTGCAGCTCACTGTTGGTGGTGAATAATGACCAGGCCCAAGGCAGTCTGTCCACTCACTCTGCCTTCCGCAAGTTGGCAGTCTCCGGAACGTCTTGTCCTGTGCTGAGGACCAGGTGTTTCGAAGCAGAACCCTGCAACACCCACTGGTGTGTTGTCTTCCCCTTGTAGTCTGAGGAAAGACTGAATTCACAGCTCTGCACCTACGGTCCTTTCTAAAGTAGCTTCTTAATGATCCTTGCCTCTTAGGCAGATGGATAGTGTCTCCTTTTAAACACAAAGCTAATGTTCTTGGGGCTTTCTCTGGAGGGGTGCATTGGGTGAGATCATCTCTGCCCATGGAAACCTGAACCAGCAGCCCTCCATAATACAGAATTCGGTTCTTTGTTCTTGCTGCCTTTGCTTCTCCCATCTGTTTTAGCTGAATCATAAATAGCTTAATGGATTGGAAGGATGGGCTGAGTGATGTTGTAAGCAGACAGTGAGCCTTTTATGGTGGTTTGTAAGTCCTGAGATAATGTAAAGGAGTGTAGAGGCTGGAAAATTGCTTTATCTATTCTGTAAACACAGATGCACATGTCTCTCTTACAGCATGCAGACTTTCTCCTTGCTCTGCAGATGAATGAGGAGCAGTATCAGAAGGTCAGTATCTATAATGTGGTCCGTTGAGTTCTGCTTATGCATAGACACTGTTTTGCACTTAACTACTTCACAGACTCTTTTGGCTTCTGGAATGGAGCTTCTCTGAAGCTGCATTTGCACTGCTCTGCTTTTGCTGAGCTGGCAAAACCTGCACAGTGTGTGTTGGCTGGCTTTTAGAAAAGGTAGACGAGAGCTCAGTCCAGCAAGACAGTATTGATGCATGTAATGATCTGTAGTAATTCAGTCAGCTGCTGCTTGTATCTTTACTGGCCAGAACAAACATTGCAATAGAATAGTACCAGGTTTGCTCTTGCTACCACCATTATGGCTGTTTAAAACAGATTTGCTGTTGTTGGAGCTCTGCCAGTGGAAAGGCCTTCGTAATTTGCAGAAAGGACTCTAAAAACCTGAAAATCAGGTCTTTCCCTTTAAACAAAGAGAGAAAAGTTAGACATCGGTTCAGCAGCTGTGGATTACCTTTGTTGTCAACGCCCATTTCTCTTCAAACTTTGGAGAACATGTTGGACCTTCGAAGAAGTGGGCATACTTACTTTTCAACAGTGGCAAGCTTCTCCACCCCTGCAATGAAGAGGCCAAGATAAGGTCTTTCCAGGCAGAGGGGTAAATCTTTCTTTAGAAGGCAACAGATCTGAAGCTTGGTTTTCTCCGTATGAATGGTGTGTACTCTCTGCTGCTTCCCTGCAATTGCAGCTTCCCAAACCCAAGATGCTTTTCTGCTTGTGAGCTAAGAATTATTAAACACCATGTGTTCTGTAGCTTTTTGGAACCTGTCAAGCAGGACATGTAGATATTAAGTTACTTAAAACTGAGTTTCTGGTTGTGCTTAGTGAGTTTTGACCACCAAATAGGATATCTAGTGGAATGGTGTATATCTGTTGCTCTTTTTTAGAATTATTGCTGGCATTGTTTATGGCTTGCAGTCATATGTGTCTGTGTGTTGCTATAGCTGTCAATGTTTTGATGATGATGCTAATACCTCTGTTTATGGCTGCAGGATGGTCAGATGATAGAATGCCGCTGCTGTTATGGGGAGTTTGCGTTTGAAGAGCTAACTCAGTGTGCCGATGGTCACTTGTTCTGCAAGGAGTGCCTAATTAAATATGCTCAGGAGGCAGTCTTTGGTTCTGGGAAGGTAAGAATTTCCCAACTGTGAGGGGAAAATGGGTGAACTGCTACTGGGAGATCACATTGCTGTTTGTGTAATGTTGTCTGCTTAAATCGGATCTAACTGCATTTCCCAGGAAATATTTGCATGGAATTGTGTCCTGAAATCCAAATCCAACAAGTCGGTCTCACCATCAAGTGAAGCCAACAACTCCACAATGGGATCTTTGCTGAACAGGATTTCAGTTTTGTTAACCTCGTCTTCTGTGCTCTGTGCTTAGCAACTTGGATTATTAGGAAAACCTTCTACAGCATTCGTAGTAACAACAATAACTTGCACTTGTCTGTTTTTTATTTTCTACTTAAACCAATGGTATCTGCACAGAGAACGCACTCCTGTCTCTGACTTGGCCAGTCTCCTCCTAGCTAAGAGTATTTGTCCTTCACAATATCACTGTGATCCCAACTTAATTTGGGAGTTGGTTCCTCTATGATACTACTAACCTTCTTGGTCTGCAATTTAGCTAGCAATTATCCTGGAACTTAGCTGAGCTATAAACAAGTCATTAACCTGCTCTGAGGTGTGCATGCTCCTTTGCCTCGAGGTATGATGATCAAATTGTGGGATGCTGTTGTACTCTGTGACCTATATTTCATGTAAACATAAACTGGCAGCTGTATTTTTATATGACTGTATTGACAAGAATACAACATGCTGTTTGTGAGCAGAGTGCTAGTTCTCAGCAGAGACTGTACAGTAATAACGGGCTGCTGTGTGGTCACAGTGGACTTGGAGAGAGTGAACTGTGATCCCAGCTATCAACAGCACCTTCGTGCCCACTGTGTGTTTGAGGCCTGATCCGTTTAACTAGTCTTGTTCTTCCATAGTAAACCCATTTTCTGGCAGTCATCTGCTGACTTAAGTTCTAGTCTCTCTAAGCAAGGCTCTGCACTGGTTTGTTTGGAAATGTTCTGGGTACTGAGTATTGCTTTTTGCTAGTATCATACTAAACCTGAGCTCCCTCCTTCCAACCCTAGTCAGAGCTCAGCTGCATGGAAGGCAGTTGCACGTGTTCATTCCCCACCAGCGAGCTGGAGAAAGTGCTTCCAGAGAACATCCTCTGTAAATACTATGAGCGGAAAGCTGAGGAGGAGGTGGCTGCTGCCTGTGCAGATGAGCTTGTCAGGTAAGTGTCCAGCAGAGGATGCAGACCGCACTTACTGTTGTAGAAAATTGTTCCCTGAAACCGTAAATGTGTGCTGACTATGAGATAGGTAGCTTTCAAAGAGCTGTATTATAAATTCAGGCTTCTGCCTTCCCAGATCTGTTTTTATTCAGGTTGATCTGCCTTTGACTAGGAGCAGATTAAAATTCAGTAGTCTTGTGTCCCCCAACACTTGCTTGCCAGCTCTGTGCTGATCCTGTAACTTACATGGTCAAAAGCAGTGCTGAGCATATAATATTTTGATTGCAAACAGGGAAGTGATCGAAGAAATATGAGCAAAAAGGCAGTAGTCAGCACATCCTGGTGGCAGGTGTTTGGTTGGCAGCCTTATTAACTACCACATACCTATTTGACTAAATCTGCTTTCAGCAAAGATATGTTTGGTGCTCTGCATTAATGGTGTCTTATTATGGGCTACAGGTGTCCATTCTGTAACTTCCCAGCTCTACTGGACAGCGATGTGAAGCGGTTCAGCTGCCCTAATCCCCGCTGCAGAAAGGTAATTGGGGGAATACTTTGCCATTTGGTCTTTCCTGAAGTATTGGGCAGGAGAGCTGGGAGGACAGCTCACACTTCCTAGTAGCAGGTGAATGAATATCTAACGTGGCTACGTGGGGCAGCAGTCAAAGTATTTGCTGGATCCTACTGACGTCCTATAAAAGTGTGTGGCTGGACAGATGAATTTCAGGGCACTGTTGCTAAAGACAGCAGTATTCCTTTCTTTCATTGGAAGATGTTGGCTAAAAAAGTTTATGGATGCCATAGGCTGCTGTCGTGCATATACAGAAACGTTTTAGGTGAACAGGGAGCTGGGTGTTTAAAAGGCATAAAACCAAATTGTAATTCTTTATCTAATGAAACTTCTGAAGAATGAGCTGAAACAACGTTACGTGCAATCCCTAAGAGAATTAGCATCTGCATCTTTCTTTTTATGCTGTTGGCTGAATACAGATTCAGTTGGAAGTGACAAAAACTTGTTGGAAGAGCTCACTGAAATGTGAGCCATTCAAAGGGCAGAAGATCTTTGTGTTTCTCTCAAAATCTGCTAATAGCCATAACGGCAGAATCGTCAGGCCCAATGGGGGGATGGAGTGGGGAAAACTTGCTGCTTCTGCGCTATCTGTTCTGGGGAAAAATAGAAGCATAGAAATGTGTTTCACAGTCTCCTGAATGTATGCAGAACCCTGTTTACATCTGGTGCCAGTGAGCCGAGGCAGTGCTGTATCAGTGTTTAGCACTGAAGCTACAAGGCTTCTTGTGTAACTTTAGGCACAACAGTGAATTCTCGTGCAATATTCTGGGAACTGCCTGTCCCTCAGCAGACTTTTCTGCTAATCACTGAAATTTCTCTTGAGTGCATTAACCTTATGCTTGTAGCTGCCATAGCTTTGGGTTCTCGTATTGATGTGATACCACCATTGCCTGTATCAAGAAATCAATAGGAAGTCAAATTCTGCTGTCTGGAGAAGTTGAAGTTGCCATTCTGTAGTGAAAATGGAACTTACTGGGGGGAGAAAGCTGCTTATGAAAGATGCACGGTTTCATTTGAGATCTCTAACGTGTCTCCAGATATGTTTTGCTAACATCTACCTCTAGCATTTGAGAAAGAAACGGAATTCTGATGGATTGTCCAAGTGTCACGAGCGAGGAGACTTGATTGTCACTAGGTGGCAATGTTGATTCATGTTTAAATAAAAAAAAAAAATTCTTACTGTTTTTGCAAAAACTGAGTTGTTTTCAAAATGTACATATGTCAGCACCACGGAACAAAATTCAGGCTTGAAGAACATGACTGCTTCAATGTGCAAAACGAATTGAAGTTGCTTTTTTTTCCCTAAAATGTGTAATGTGGCACAGTAACTGTGGTAAGAAGGGTCAGTGCTGAAATGTTCCTTTCCTTCTGGTTTGCTGTTTCATTTCCTTCCTAGCGTACTCCCTGTCCCCCCTCCCTGGGCTTGCAGCATTCCAGTGGGCTGGATTTCTGGTTTCCTGGACAGCTTGTGTTGATTCATTAGCTGAAAATCTGCTGAGTAGCTTTGTGCTCTTCTTAGAAGTCTCGAACGACTTTAGGATTTGAAGTCGAGGGTGAGGAATTCAGATAGCAGGATGTGGTGTTGTCTCACAGCATCAACTGCAGTGGTTCTTCATATTCCTGCTATCTTGTCTTTCTCCAGAGTGAAGAATTTCCGTTAATGCTCTTGCTTGCAGGAAACTATTGCCCTTAGGGAGGAAAGGGCTAATCTAGGGAACTCTACAGAGGTTGGAGAGGATGCATTGGCTTTGCTAGCAGTACTTCTGGCAGCCTCGGTGGTGGTGATGACTGATCCTGGAAGGAGTCCCTCTCTGGTTGGAAGGACTGCACTTGCACAGCTGAACCCAAAGCGAGGGGAAGTGTGGAAAGGGAAAGGTCAAAATGTGCCTCTCCTGAAACCTCAAAGCTCTTCAAGGGTGGGCGGAGGAGGACCAGATGGTGGACCTGTTGTATTTCTGTGCTCCATCACCTGGATGCTTTGTCTTGCTTTGAGAGTTCATGTTGATACTCTCAGGCTTTCCTTTAAATCTTGCAGAGATGTTGCTTCATATCTGGGCAGATATGGATGTATTGTAAAGTATGTGATGGGAACCAGCTGGAAGCCTTCATTTTGGCTGTATGTATGTATCTTGGGCTCAATAATAAGAGCTCTAGGCATCCCCAGGTCGCTGCTGATGCATCTCACCTGTAGTTCCCTTGCAGGGACCAAAATGTGGCTAAGTGTAACCTCAGCAATGGGCAGAGCTGCTGGTTGCTTTCTGTGACTGAACGGTTGCACGGAGAGCATGCAGATGAGCCTGCACCATCTGCCAGAGCCACAGTGGCTCCAGCTGTGTGGCGTGAAGTTTGGCTCCTAGTTAGGTGGCCAGGGCTTGAATCTTAATATCATGAACTGCAGGGTGGAGGAAAAGCTTAATTAGCCAAGGAAAAACATTGCCCAAGCCACCCTACGGATGAGCTGGTGCTGGGGGAGAGGCAGCTTTTGCTCGGACTTGTCGGAGTTTGAGGTTTTGCTCTAAAACAGGTTGCTGACCGCGCGTGGAGCCAGGCTTCCCGGTGACAGGAGGGTTTGCCAGCCTGCTTGGTCAACCTCGATCTTGTTCTGCGCAGGGATCCCTGCGTGGAAGCAGCGCTCAAATTTCTCATCTCTAATGGTGCGCATTTCTCCTCCCAGTGCTCTGACAGAGCAAATCAAAGCTGGCAATTCTGGTAAAACTAGGAAAGGCACATGTTGCTTGTTGACTTGTGCAGCACTGGGAAGTGAGCATGCACTTTTGCATGTTGGGGGAAGTACTGTTTCTCACCAGAAAAGGAAGTCCATCCTTTCTTCTCAGCTTCCCTCCTCCCAAGACCACATATTGTTGGTGAAGACAAGGCTTTTGTTCATGGGCTGCTCGCTGCTATCCCCGGCGCCGTGTTGCGGGTGGGGGAGATAGTCTCCCCTCTTTGCAGTCTCAGCACAAAGCACTGCAGGGCTTTCAGCCAGCAAAGAGATGGGGAGGTGAAAGCTGCCGTTGCCATGGAAATAATGCATGCACCGAACAGTGCTGTCCCTCCGGTGCTGGAGAGCTTGAAACCCTCAACACTCATTTCATAGCCAGGCCATACTGTAGGGACTTGCATTTCCAAGACTTTTCCTTAAAACTCCTTTGCGTAGCTTACAATTTTTTCTTACTTTATTGTACCGAGTTGTTGTGTGCCTCGGTGCTGGCTGGATGGGAAGAGGTGGTGGCGTATGGTTGCACGGTGCTAAATCGCATTGCCCTCGGTCTGGGCAGCTGCCAGTCTTGTTCGGGGCTCCTTAGTGCATGCTGTTAATGAGGCTGTGTTTGGGGAGTGGGTTTGCCTGCTGGGTGTCTGAACTGTCATGCTGGAAAAGTGAGCATTGATGTGCCTGCGTCAGATAAAATCTCCACTCTTGCCTTTTCGTCTTCAGGTTAGGCTCTCTGGTCACAGCAATCCTTGTGTGTACTTTTAATTTGCAGGACTAAGACTTGGTATTTTAGGGGACTTCTTTTTAAGCTGCTAGAATGTCTCGGGATTGATTTCAAGGTGCTGGCTAGGAACAGATGCACCCAGCTGCTTTTAACCTTCATTTTCTGTTGGAAGCGCGACAGGTTTAAGCTTGTACAGAGCTCTGCCTAGCAAGCTGTGTCTGAACATGGCTTCTCTTAGCAGGGTGCTAACACTGCATCCACAACCCATGTTAATAAGCCTAAGTCACGTTGTACGGTTTGCAGCAACTTTGACGTGAGTGGCCTTGCTGAAATAAACTGCTGCATGATCAACTGGACTTAAAGTTACAGAAGCAGCTAAGGGGCATGCTGCAATGCCTGTGATCTCTGTACCTGGTGTGGTAATGGGACACACAGCTGCTTGTGATTCAGAGGTAGGTAATGAGGCAGCCCCAGCCACCTGTGATCCAGTTACAAGTGTTTTATAGGGTGCAAGGGGAAATGTTTGTGTAATCAAGTACCCAGCAGCAGGGGATGTGTTCAGGATGTCGTAGCCTTCCAAGGATGTCATCTAACACACACCACAGGGCCCGTTACTTCTGTGCTAGAGGCTGAGGCTGGCCTGGAGCTGCCCGGAGCTGCCCTGCCCGACTCCAGATGCGCTGTGGTTTTAGGCTTAAACCCTATCAAGGTTTGTCACTGGCAGGGTGCGTGTGCAACATGGAGGGAAAAAAAAAAAATTTGTTCTGGTTGGAGAAATTGAGCTTGTCCAAAATGCCTCAGAGTAGGATGTGCATATGGAGAATTACTTAATTCTCCTTGTTTTGCAACATGTTTTCCCAGCTGTTGAAGTCTGCTGTCTCATTCAGCTTCCTGACAGCAGCGCAAACATTTTGAAGGTCCCATGGCCCTGTCTCATTCTCTGTTCAGCCATTCTTACTGCTGTTCTCTGTATGCTTTTCCTTGAGCCTATTTGTTTAGATTTGATTGTTACTTAGAGCTTAGCCCCACAGCTTTAGCGGAGAGAAGAGCCGAAGGTAGCACTCGCTTATGGCAGACCCCTGTAATTTCTTTCTGGTGGCAATGACCTCAAGGCCCAACTCCCGCATTTAAATTACCATCCTCCTGTGTCTGTGTGAATGCAGCTTAGCAGAATTTGTTGGAATGAGGAAGAAAGGAAAATGCAGCATGGAGGACCTTGCTATGTGTCTTACTGGGGGGTGTTGGGAATGGAGCACTTGTGCCTGCATACGCTTTTGTCTGGAGGCCTCTCTCCCGCTTGTCTGGGCCAGCAGAACGGTCTAAGCCATCTTTTCATGACTCTGCCATCTTCTTCCTCAGCACTGCATCCCTGAAACCTCCTGCTCTGGAGCTCTCAGCTTTCTCCTCCAGCTCAGTGCCTTCGCTGCACCCTTTTTAAATGAGCGGTGCGCATGGGAACACGCTCCGCTCTGTTACTGCCAAAACCACAACAAATGGCAAGTTTCCGTCTGTCATCTCAGCTCGGCTCTG